ATGAGGATCGAATGTGACAGTTTCTAACAAATGTCCTTCAAAAAATGTTTTCTTTGTTATTAAGCAAAGATAAATTTTGGAAATATTAAAAAAAACAGGGTCTCCGTAATGTCGGTCGATATATAAAGTTAGAATGCTGTTAGGCCTGTAAGTGATGCCGTTAATTTTAACAAAAGAAGTGGAGTACAATTCTGTGGAGGGTGAGAGATTAAATTGTCTTAAAAGCAATGTTAATCGTGAAATGTTAATTCTTATAATTTTACAAGAATGCTGAAAATTGGATGGAAGTTGATTTTCTAAAAATAAATGGTTTAATTGTAACTGATTTTTTATAGCAAGAGTTTTGCAAATATTCATTCTGTTCATTGAACTTCTAGCTGCTATTTTTAATATTCTGTGTTTCGATTCAAACCTCATTGACCACAAGTTATGTAGGGGACCTAATTTTTTCATTATTCCTGGATAATGAACCAAATAGTGAAATTTAAGTTTCAGAGGAGTTGAACTAAGTTGCAAATATAGACTATTAAATTCCTCTACTGCCCATTTTAGTTGATCACAAACGACATTATTTACATAGTCTGTCATAGCGAAATCTAACACTCGTCTTAACAATATATATAAACGCCAGTGTTCATCATTATTTGGTACTTTGTGAGAAATAAAGCAAGAAAAATATCTCACATAGTTTAAAGTTTCAATTGATGACATTTTCCATTTTATTTTGAAAGCACTTTCTGAGGACAATAGAGGCGGTTGATTATTCGTGTCAGAACCATAATCAAAAGTTTCGGCCCTGTCATTCAATTCTTTTAAAGTAAAATATTTTTTTACTAGCAGTGAGTTTATAACTAAAGTCATTGTATAATTAGCAATACCCTCTAAAATATCATGCATCATGTCAACGGCAACTTGCTTAAAAATATCAAAATCATCAAGTGCGTACCAAATTGCTTTATGTCTGATCCCAGTTTCGCTAGAATTGTTATGATGGACATCAGTTAGGTAATTTTCTTCATTTCGTAGCAAAGAAACGTCTTCGGAACACATATGCTGTACTTGTTCTTTATTAGCTCTGCACATACGACATGGATATTTAGCATTGAAACCTTCAACAAACCCCAATATAGAATGAAGTCCCAAATTATTTCCCAGTAACGCTCCTAATTTAAATTTTATAATTCCTTGGAACTCTGGAATATCCAATGTAATGCCTACCGTTGATAAATATTTCAATTCATTAATTACTAGATAAAAAGCCGCTTGGTTTCCATCTTCAGTTAAACGATCGGAATAATGAAATAAAGCAAAGAGAAAAATATATTTTATGTTAGATGCTAAATGTGGAGGTAAGCACGCTATTGAAATATATACTGCTCCCAATTTATGAATGCCTGCATGACTGGATAATGGATTTCCTATTTCAAATTCGTCATAATAAAGTAATAACGGATAAATTTTTTCATTAACATTTTCAGTTTGACTAATTTCTAACCACGTAGGACTATGATATTATTAATTAAATACGAATATTATTAATTGAAGAAGAGCAATTGCAATCATGTACATATTTATCAATAGCTGTGAAAACACTGGGAACTGATAAAAATTTGGTTAAAACATGACGAATTGGTATAAATTGTCCTGTTCCTATAACTTGTTTCCTCAATCCTCTAGAAAATTCAACATTCCCAATAGCTAATGGATATTGTTGAGGATATATTAATGTACCCATATCTTTATAATATTTGTTTCTTCTATATTCAGTGGAGAAGTTAGTAACTGAAGTCTTGATTATATCCAGAATGCTTTCAATATCAAGTACACTATTTTTATGCATACTGTCATCATAGCAAATTTGTGAAGCTAACGTCAATGAATTTGTCATAAAAAGTAATAAATTTCGGATTAAAGTTTGAGCTGTTTTTCTAGGAATAATTGGGTCCGCTAACAATAAACTAAGTATTAAAGATAAATCACGAGTAAAAATACTATTAGCAGTCTCGATTGTTAGATATTGGTTGCATTTGTACTATACTGCCATCACTATTTGAACCTATTTCTTCTATATCGGTCATTTGTATTTCATTATTTCTTACAATCTTTTTATTCACACTCCTCGCTACAGATATGCAATCATGTGTTGGTGCAACCTTCTCTTCAAACGTAGTAATTGCGTTAGTAGAAATACCAGAATCAGAGATGGAAGCATTATTTTGTGAAATATATGTAGATATTGCACCATGAATTCTTTTATAATGCATCCTAAGAACTTGTAATGAATCAAATATGCGGAAGCATCCAATTCTCCGCATCGAACACGGGAAGAGTTGGAATACGAAAACTTTGAACATGTGTGTTGAAGATGTTTTAATATTTCAAATATTACTTTAAATTTTCCCGAACAATAATAGCACGTTAGCATGATGCACGATAAATTGTAGCAATAATGAGACAAAAAGAGGAAAATAAGAATAATAGTACAATTATGTATAATGAAATTAACCTTAGACAAAAGAAGAGTGTTACTCTTCAACGAAATTATTTCTCAAATATTTTTCAAAACATTGTAACTTAACTTGTA